GTCTCCTGCTGGCCCCTGTCCCCTGCTGCCTTCATCCACAGCCTCCTCCCGCGGGGCCTCCCGCGCCAGGGCAGGCGACAGCCCCGTGCCTCCCCGTGTGACTGCGATAAACATTACACCGCGGCCGTTAATGTTTAATGAGGTTCGCCTCCCAATTAATGTGCTCTCCCGGGCGCCCGCCGGCAGAGCGAGGGACGGCGTGGCAGCACCATGGGTGACGGTAAGGATGCTGCGGGTCCCGAAGGTGCCCCTGGCCGCAGCCGCGGCACCCTGCTCAGCCAGGGAGCTGTGGCAGCGGCTCCTGCCTTCCCCTTTTTCCTATGGAAATAGCGAGCACAAGGAGGGGTGGGGCTGGGGCACCCCTGGCAATGCCCCGGTGCGAGGAGTGGGCTCAGCTTGTGTGGCGCACAGAGGGGCGAGCGCTCAGGTAAGGTGAGTGGGGCAGCACCACGCGCTCCCGGGCCAGGACGACACGGACAGCGGGCAGGGAGGCTGCCCAGACGCAGTGTGGTGAGAGCTTGGGAGTCCTCTGCTCGCCAGGCTCTGCAGATCCCCATACTCATGGGGTTCCCCTCTCTTGCAGAGCAAGCGCCCGAGCAGGGCCTGAACAGGTTCACCTACGGTAAGTGCGTGCAGCTCGCGGGCCAGTTCCAGGGAGCGGGACCGGCGCGTCCTCCCCGCTCACCCTGCTGAAACCTGCGTGCCTCTCCCTCTGTCCCAGACTATGACACCATCCGCAATGGGGGGCTGATCTTTGCCGTGGTGGCCTTTGTCATCGGGCTCCTCATTATCCTCAGTAAGTGATCTGGGCCGGCTGGTGCAGGGCGCGAGCTGCCCATGGGGCTCCCACCAAGACCCGCTCCCCGCACAGTGTCTGTTGGGAAGGAGACCACGTAAATATTTAGCATTTCCCAGCCAGCACGAGGCCCCAGGGGGAAGGTCACTAATTAAAAATAGCAGAGAAAATGCTGACATTTCAAGAGGGAGAAAGCAGCTCCCACAGAGTGCCCGGTGCAGCGTAGGGCGTGCAAAGCCCCCAGCAAGCACCGTGCGCCTCACTCCGTGGGCCAGGCGCTGCCGCCCACCGCAGGGCTAGCTCTGCGCACTGTCTGGCTAGGGGAGGAGGGCATGGACATGCCCTGCGTTGTGAGGAGTGCAGCGATGGGGGCCATCTGGGGGTGATGAGGGCACTGCGGACTCTGCAGGGGGGCTCCCCTGGGGCAGTAGGCTCAGGACATGGCAGGGGGATGGTCACACGTGAGGCCCAAGTGGTTTGAGCTGCTCCTCTTGCCCACAGGCCAGCGGTTCCACTGCGGAGCCAAGAAGAGGAGGAGGTGGGTATGGGGTGGCTGTGGGCAGCCCCGCTCCCTGCTGCGAGGGGTTGGGGCAGGCTCGGACACCCTCTTCCCGCTCCTCATGTTTGTTCCACAGACAAGGAGACGAGGCCGAGCTGTAGCTGCAGGTGGGTGCAGAAGGGAGTGCTGCACTGCAGGACGGGCTCCTCGGGGTGCCCCTGGCCCGCAGCAAAGCCGGGAGCCCCAGGAAGGGGCTGCACGGCCTGTTCTGGGAAGGGAGGAGGCGATGCCCGGGGCGGCGCAGCCAGGCCCGCGCCGCGGAACACGCTGCCCCTTCGCTGTGTAACGCTGGCGCCTGTCCATTCCAGAGCTGCCGCACTGTGCGCAGGGAGAGCTTCGCCCAAAGCTGCAAAGTCCTCGCTGGGGTGGCCCCCGCGCTGCTCCAGTGGCTCCCCGGCCCTGCTGCCCTGGCAGGCGGGCACGCCGCCAGCCCACGTGCTTTCCCCTCCGCTTGCTGCGCGTGTGCTCCTGAGCTAATAAAGTGCCAGCTGAGCGTGGCTCAACTGGGTGCCCGAGGCGTCTGCATCTCCCGCGTGCCTGGCCTTGCACCAACCACTTCTCTGTCCTACAGACACCTCCAAAGGGAGCTTCCGGACAGGTTCCCACAGCCTAATTCCGACTGCACCAATGGCACGAGACCATCTCTGCTCACCAAGGCTGCCGCGATGCTGGCCCAGAAGTGCCCCTTTCCACTAGCACGTGAGCCCACGCCCCTCTGTGCTGGCAGCCAAATGTCCCCTTTTAAAAATAATCCCGCTGGCAGCCGAGCAGCGAGCGAGGAGGACAGCCCTTTGCACGCAGGCTGCTCGGGCCGACACGGACATCTAGTGACGAGCTGAGGGAGGGCCAGCACTGCGGGCACTGCGACACGGCCAAGCGTGCCCGTGCCATCGCGCTGCCTTGGCAGGGGGCCGCCTGCCCGTCCTTGCCCAGCCTCCAGCGAGCGTGGACAGGAGGCGTCGCACAAGCGGCTGGAGCAGGGCGCTCAGTGCTGGCTTATGCTGCCTGCCCCTTGCTCCGCCACCCAACTCGAGGCCGTGCAGCGGGGCCGGGGCACCCTGCAGCCCTGCAGTTCCGCGGTGCAGCGCGGCACCGTGGCCCCGCTGGGGTGCAAGTGGGCTCTGCGAGCGAGCCGGGCCCTGCAGCTCCTGTCGGCACCAAGGCCTGGCCATTACTGCCCTCTTGTGCCAGGAGAGCCTGTGCAGCCTCCGTGATGCAGCCTCCGTGATGCAGCCCGGGGCAAAGGCCCCTCTCCGAACCCCACAGAGCCCTGCGCGTTCGGGGGCGTGCGCCCTGCAGCCCCCACGTCCACAGCGCAGCCCACCTGGCTGCCCTGGCTGCGGTGCAGGTCACGCGCTGGTGCTGAAATAGGATTAGCCGTGGGAAGGTTATTAGGCAAGATCCACGCAATTTGTATAATCTGAGGTGCTTATTTAGCGCACTAAGGAGATTATTCCGAAATATAATTTGGACCAGACACTGACCCATTAATAGAGACTCATTAGGGCTTTTTTCCAGCTCGAGTAGGACCTGGAGTGCAGTGGCAGTGGTACAAGAGCCCACGGGTAGTGACACAGAGGAGCCCCGGGCTGCATGTTCCTTGCATTAGCATCCAGTGCCAGCCGTGCTCGCAGGCAGGGAGGAGCAGATGTTGCATGCAACCACCCTGTCCCAAGCATGTCCCGTGTGCCATCCCCAGTGTCTGGTGCAGAGGGGGCTGGACGCAGCCGTGCCCGGGCCAGGGGCAGCCCTGCAGGCAGGGGCCCCGCAGCGCCGAGCAGATTAGCAGGAGGGAGCAGAAAGCCGCGTCTGGCCAGCGCGCAGGGGGTCCCTGTCTGGGCAGCAGATGGCATTAATAGCATTAGTGCACGCTGCTGCAGGCGCTCCTGGGGGCTGCAAGCTTGTCCTGGGCAGCAGGGGCAGTGGCAGGAGCACCTCAGTGCCTGGGCACAGTTCTGCGGATCTGGGGCAGGGACACGGGTTGGTGCCCTGTGCAGGCAGCAGGCATTGCGCCAGCTGGCAGCCTCGCAGAGGGGGCCTTGGTCTTCGTCCCTGAAGAAGGCAATCTCTGGGGATTTCTCTCACACTCCCTTGAGCCATTAATCTGCTCAAAGTAGGTCTTTTCTGTGGCAAAAAGGGGATTGGGTAAATAATACAGTGGACGACTGGAGTGTCCATTTCATCCGGGAAGAAGTCCAGCTTGGAGCAGCTTCCCCACGGTGCCAGTCCTCCCGCAGCCTCTGAGCAGAGCCACACAGGGAAGGGGGCTCTGGCTGCACGGTGCTTAGCCAGATTCGTGCTTAGTGCGTGCCCAGATGTGCCAGGGGTGTCTGCAGCTCATCGCATGCAGCTTGCAGCGCGCCAGGGCGGCCAGCACTGCTCCGCCACCTCTGCAAGGCCAGGGACGCGCTTGGCCCGCAGGGACTGGGAATGCGCAATGTCTCCTGTTAGTGAGGCTGAGAGCAGCAAAGGGTGATGAATGGAGCCAAAGAGGATGGCTCGGAGCTGGGGTCACAGCCAGGTACGTGCCTTGGTCTCCCTCTCCCAAGCAGGCAGCACATCCGTCAGCAGTGACGGGTCTGCCAGAGCAACAGGGCCACCCTCCTGACCAAATAAATAACATTTCACTCCTCAATTCTGTGCTGCATGTGCCCCAAAGCAACCGTTATTGCAAAACAGCTGATCACACGTAGGATGGATGCAGTGGGGCCAGCAGAAGCACTGTGCACTCCTCAGGCTGGAAGCCAAAAAGGGTCCTTGCGGATCCACTTTGTGCCTTTTAGGGCTTGGGGCCATGCCCTGAGCCTGCCACAACTGTGCAGGGGACTCCAGGACGACGCCTGAGACTGTGAGGGCAGTGACTGCCTCTTGGCTCCCTGGGACGGGATCTCCTGGTCCCTGGGAGAGGCTCTGGGAAGGCCCCAGCACCGAACATAACCCAATACGTGCTTATCAGGGCCCAATACGTGCTTATTGAAGCTGCGACACTAGGGGGAAGCACAAAACAAGCTTCTTTCCTAGAAGGAGCCTCCGGACAGCTGGCAGAGCCACCGCGAGCCGAGGCCTCGGAGCACCTGCCCAGGCCAGCCAGGGCTGCTCCCGGCCCCAGGGTGCAAACGCAGCGTTATGGCCAAATACGGGGACTGCCCGATGCCCCGCACGCCTGTGTCTGCCCACGGGCAGGCCCTGCGTGAGCCCCTGCAGCGGGTGTCCTTCCGTCCCGCACACTGGCCTGGGGACACCGGGGCACGGAGTAGGCCACGAGGTGCCTGGGGCAAGATCCAGCCCCGGGAAGCACCATACTGTGTTAGTGTGAGTGCGGGTGCTCATCCTGGGGACGCCAGGACCGCTCGCAGCAGGGGGAGGGCACAGGGGACTCATGTGGCTGCAGGGCACTGAGCCCCATGGGGACGCAGGCCCTTTAGCCCAGGTGCAGCTCTGCATCACAGCAAGTGCAGCTGGAGGCAATTAGCACAGGTGAAACCCGCAGGGCAATCAGCCCCCAGGCTATGTGATGCGCTGCCTGGACCATGCTGGCTTCTTGCTGGGCTGTGGGGCTGTGTGGGGCAGGAGGCTGTGGCACAAGCCCCAGGACTCGTCCCCAGGATGTGCTGGCGGCACAGGGTCACCGCAGGCTGTTTCCGCTGTTCGAGGGGTGCTGTGAGGCTGCAGCCGGTGAGTCGCTGAGCGCTTTAATGCCTGTTTCCGGGGGATTTGCCTGGGAGGGCAGGTGAGGGCTTGCCCTGCTGTGTGCCCCAGCCAGGCCTGTGGGATGCTCCTACAGAGCCTGGTGCCCATCTGTAGCACTTTTCCCTGGGAAGGCCTCCCTAAGGAGAGCAAGAATCTCTATCTGTGGGCAGTTTGCTCATACCAAGGTGGGCTTGTGTGTGAATTGGTGGAAATGCTCCATGGGACAGTAAAACATCTGCTAGGTGAGCCTCATGTCTCTAATTGCCCGCTCAGAGGGATGCGGGGTTTCGGTACTGGGTGCAGTGCTGTGCAGGGCCAGGACACAAGCAACTTGCTGGAATCACGTCTGGGAAGGAGCAGGGAGGCTGTTGTGCTGTTTGTACTAGGAGCAAGGCAGGAATGTGTCTTTCCCAGGTCAGAGCTGCCTTTTTGCTAGCTGTGCTTGCCCGTGCCTGCAGCAGGTCACTCGGCCCCCATTCGTGGCCAGGTGTTAGCAGGGAGACGTGACATGAATTTCTCCTGATGGGTGACTTTTGCTTCTCTTCCTCGGAGCCTCATATGTGCTGCCAATGGCTGGGCTGGAGCTGCCCGAGGAGCTAATTTGATGAATCTTGCCTTTTTCTGATCGCAGCTGTCTAAGCATGTGACACTGTCCCAGGACTCGGATTGGGCTGCTGGGTGCAGTTTAGCAGCTGCCTGGGTTGGGCGCTTGTGCAATGGAGATGTGCGAATGCTTCCTGCAAGCGCTTGAATGCAGGGCTGCAGAGATGCTAGTGCAGATCAACCCTGGCGTGAGCTGGCTCTGGGTGGTGCAGGCTGCTCCCCAAGCCCACAGGACCAGTGCAGGGCAGCGGGTGTCTGGGATGGGAGGATGACAAAAGGTCTTGGACTCAATGGAGGAGTGCATGGGGCAGTGATGAGCAGTGTGATCACCTCTGGGGATGACTCTGGCTCTAGAGCTTGAGCCTGGCCTGGTCAGCCACCTTTAGTTGCTTTGTCTGGCTTTTCTTAGGCTTGCTAGCTGAAGATGTTTTGTCCGGAAGGAAGGAGTTTTGTGCAGTGTGAGGCCAGCTCTGCTGCTGCAGCAAAGTATGTGTCTCTGGGCTGGAAATGAGGAAACTTGCTGGAGATGCTGAGCAGCCCAGGGAGCTAAAAATGAACCTCTGAGTAGCATTTCCTCCCCTGCACATGTGCCTCAAATGGAGATTTGCGAGGCCGTGCTGGTGCAGTGCCAGCGAGTGTCCCGCCAGCTTCCCTCTCGCTCCTGCCAGCCCACGTACCCTTGGTTCATTGAGCGCTGCGTGTAGGAGTGCAGAAGCCGCACCTGAGTGCAACGCGTTGCGTGCCGGGGTGCGCCAGGCTGCCGAGGCTGCGTGGCTGGAAGATCCCCGCCGCCGGGCTTGCCGGTGCTGCCATCGC